GGGGGGGCGGGCGCCTCAATGGAGATGCAGATGACATCCCTCTTTCAGGTGGGTAAATGCTGGCTCCCTCAGGCAAGCTCGCTCCAAAGATGACTACAAGTTGTTTTTAAAGTGATTATTTTTGGTTTAACGTTTTAAGATTATCTCAGAGCAAAAGTTTCAAGGGTTCATCCACCCTCCATGGCTCCAAAAAGTCTAGAGGCTATGAGAATTTGAAATTCTGTACTTTCCCTCTTTTGGACAGGATTCCTCTTTGACACAGTTGATGAAAATATTCAGTAATGATAGCTGGGCACCACACAATTCTTTTGGTCTCATGGCAAAGAAAGGCTATTTCTCCTTTCTCCTCTGCTTCTCCAGATGAAGAGACCAAATGCTGTGCCTTGAACAGTCATTTGTGGGTTTATAAAACCTCAGCCAAATGGAGCTTCAAGGACTTGCTTCAACTTTGCTGAGTGGGTCAAAAAAGCAATTAAAACCCCCGAAAACAAAGAATACAATTTTAGCTATTTATTTGGGCTAGAAATTTACAGTCAACACAGTTTATATCTTGGACTTTGATACCTACCACCTGTATATAATTAATACTTTCGCTGTTGTTGAGACTATATACAAAGCAACCAGAAACTGAACTACACAGACACTGAGCTGATTCCAACTCACAGTGACCCTATAGGGAAGGATAGAACTACCTCATAGGGTTTTCAAGGCTGTCAATTTTTATAAAAACAGACTGCCACATCTTCTCCTGAGAAGCAGTTGGTGCATTCAAAGAGCTGACATTTTAGTTAGCAATTGAGTGATTTAACCACTGTATGACCAGGGATCCTTATATAAAGCAAAACATCAATTCAATGGTTTCTATATTCACAACTCAGTGATACTGATCACATTCCTCCAGTTGCACAACCATTCTCATTGTCCTTTTCAGAGTTCTCCTCCACCATTAATGCAAATGCCCTATCCCCTAATGTTCCTATCTAATGTTCTGAGATGCAATTGTTACTTTGATCCCTTATGTTGTTGGTAGGTGCCATTGAGTTGGCTCCAGCCTATAGTGACCCTATACCCAACAGAACAAGACACTCAATAGTCCTGCACAATCATCACAATCACTTCCATGTTTGAGTCCACTGTAGCAGGTACCATGAGGGCCTTCCTCTTTTTTTAACCAGACATGACATCCTTCTTCAGGACTGGTCCCTCTAATAACATGTCTAAAGTACATGAGATAAAATCTCGCCATCCTCCCTTCTAAGGAGCATTCTAGCTATATTTCTAACAGATATTTGCTTGTTCTTCTGTCAATTCATGGTATATTTAATATTCCTCACCAACACCATCACTCAAATGTTATCAATGCTTCAATTTTCCTTATTCATTTTCCAAATTTCACATGCATGTAATCCAACTGAAAATACCATTGCATGGGTCAGTCTCACATTAGTCCTCAAAGTGACATTTTGCTTTTGAACATTCTAAAGAGGTCTTTTTTTTGCAACAGATCTGCCCAATGTCACTTGATTTCTTGGCTGCTGCTTCTATGAGCGTTGATTATGGATCCAAGAAAAATGAAATTTTGACAACTTCAATGTTGATCCCATATAGACAGTTCTTAAAAGAGCATAACATTCAAGGCATATATTTATATTAGTTTAGTTAAACTATTATTAGATTTTGAGAAGACTTGAGGGGATATTTTTGGTTTAAGGTTTAACAATTATCTCAGGCTAATAGTTTCATGGGTTCATACAGACCCCATAACTTTATGAAAGTCTCGAGCCCATAAGAATTTGACATTTTCTTCTGCATTTCCCTTCTTTTGATTGGGATTTTTCCATAGAATATTTCATCAAAATGTTCAGTGATGGTAACCGGGCACCATCCAGTTCTTTTGGTCTCATGGAAAAAGAGGAAGTTATTTATGGAAAGCACTTAGTCATACATTCCATATCCTCTCCTACCTGATTCTGCACTTCCTCTATTGGTCTAGGTGAACATAGCCCAACTAACTGTTGGGACTTGGATGGTCCCCTGAAAGCTTTAAAGACCCAGGCATTAAGCAATGAACTAGGAGGTATGACAGAAGCATTAAATACATTAGGCCAACTACCCAAGACCATAAACCTCCAAACCAAGGAACCAAATACTGTGAGGTTTTGGGTTGTATAAATACAGTCTCATCAGTTACTCTTTTTTTTTTTTTCTGGCAGGGATGGCATTTTTGGTTAATTACTTGCAATACTTTTCTGTGCACACTTCAAAGTTAATGAGCTTTCCCATCATACCTGTGTTTCCATTTCCATCATCCTTTGCTTTATTTCTTTTATTTCTGCCTGTGTTTCAGCTTCTTTAAGTCGAATGGTCATCAGTTCATCTTGTAACTCATTCACAGCATTCTTCTTAGGTGGGTCTTTCCATCTCCCACTAGTACGAGCTAAGTGACGCTACAACAAAAAGATTACATTGCACCAAATACTGTCAACATCAAAACTTTACTGAGCACTTACTCTGGGTCCAGTACTACACGTATTATTTTATTTAATCCCCAGAAAATCATATGAGCACTATTACCTTCATTTTACATGTCAGAAAACAGACATTTTGATTAAATAATTTCATGGAGTTCATGTAGCCAGTAAGTGGCAGATCTGGGATATAAACTCAAACATAGTTCAACGTTTTTTTTTCAATACAAGAAGTGAATTAATTCTTGTAAAGAATAAAATTTTCACCCTGGTTTTTTCTTTTTATCTTTAATGAAATCTCAAGAATTAAAATTGGGGCTGTTCACTAATGAAGAAATATTATAAGCTAAGAGCAGCGTTTTTTCAAAATTATCTGTGATGATGACAACTGTCTTATTTGTTTTTTAATTTCCACTATATTGCAGTCTAATATTTTGCCAAAAATAATAGTAATATCAAATATTAATTTCATTCTTTGCTAGATATCTCTAAAAATTCAAACCAAGACCACTAGTCCCAAACTCTAAGAAGCTTGTTTTTGATTCTTTCTGTCTTCTCTCTTATAGATTCTCTTGTTCCTTGTCAACAGCTTCCTTTTTAAGTGAATTAATTTGTATCCATATAACTAGTGAAATGCCAGATTATTTATTGACATAACTGATTATTAGAAGTTAAAAAAATAGACAAATTTATATTGGTGTCAACTCATTAATGTTTCACATCGACCACAGTGGATTTAACACCAACATAAAAAATATATACTATTTTTAAAAAGTTACTTACCAGAATGTATTGTTGCAACAACAATAAAACCATAACTTGATTTCTTTTTAACTTTCCTTTCGTGATAAGAAGGTGGAAATAGCATGAATGCACATTCCAATCAGAAATGCTCTGTTTGTATATTAAGCAGAGTCTTTCTCACTTTAAATTCATTTCATCAACGTCTTCAAACACTTACAAACTGTATTATCTGGCTTTTATTATCTTTTTAAAAAGCCCACAAAATATGTGATATACCTGCCAGTGTTCCTCTAAATCCTTGACTTGCTGTCTAAGTTCTTTCAAACCCATAATAGCTTCTGCTTCTCTCAGTTTCACAGCAATGAGTTCTTCCTGAAGTCTTGCGACGTTATTCTCATCAGGCAGGGAGCTGTTCCTCTAAAGCAAAAGAAAATTTCATTTGGGATTTTTAAATTTAAGGAACAAAATACAGTACACATAATAAATGCTCTTGTGTCCCAATGTGTAATTAATTGTACTTACATTTTTATAACAGCTTTATTGAGATATAATTCACATACCACAAAATTCACCACTTTAAGTGTATAAGTCATTGTGACCACCACAACTATGTAATTCCAGAACAGTTTATCACCCATGGAGGAAGGATCTAGCAGTCTGCTTCTATAAAGATTTATATCCTTGGAACCCTAGGGGAAGTTGTATTCTGTTCTATGGGGTCGCTGTGAGTAAGAATCCACTAGATGGCAGTGGGTTTGATTTGGTTGGTATATCAATATTCAAAAAATTAATACCAAGATGATCTAAATATGTGCTTCATGGCATCAGATGTAGCTCAATCTCCTATCATACTTAAAGACCTAGGACACAGAAAAGACCAGTACTGAACTGCTCAGGGGAATGATGAAGAGATCCATAATGAAGCCCTAATAAAATTTTCCTAAATAAACTGAGTCAATAGTGAAATTTCCAGGACTGGCTTTACATAATTTTGTATTTCTAAAATATTACATGGTGGACATGAAGACTTTATCTCACAGGGATGATGAAGTAAAGCTATATCAGTCAAATACACATCCTTACGGTGAACTTTAAATGTTTCTTGAATTGAAAACCAGAGATTTAATTACTTTAAAGACTTAAGGACACTTCTTTCTACTAAATACTTAAATATTTTCTAAGTGAAAGACCCAGACGCTTACCTAAATCATGAGCTGAGAATACTCCAATGTTAGAACCAAATATTTCAATGTTAGAACCAAATATTCTTTCAGACATTTCTCTCAGCATCCCTGCTGGCTTTCTTCTCAACAAATAAAAGATAGAAATTTCCAAAATAATATAAAAATAGAACCAGATTTCTAAAAAAAGTATCCCAGCACAGATTCTTGTTATATTTCATTGAAAAAATAGTTTAAATACAACTTGAGACTGTCATGTTCATTTATCTACGAGTCTTTGATTCAACCTCTAGAGTGAACAAATTCAACCTAGAGTTGAGGCTATCAATGCTAAGTTATGGAGTCAAGGTATTTTAAAGCAAGAAGAAATCTTAAAGGGCCATCTAGTGTGTCTCCATGATTTTATAAATGAGAACACAGAGATTCAGAGTTTGTGAGATCTACAACATAGACTTCTCTATCAAATATGAGTGTTTTCAGAAATCTAAAAGTTTTCTAGTTCCAATACTTACCTAATCCTTGAAGTCTTTTAATATAAATTCCATTATATTTTAATTCCATTTTCCCACTAACTTTCTGGACCCCCCTAGTATTTATTTGAAGAGAGATAGCCTGGCTTCTGTAAGTACACCTCGGGCTAAGGAGAACTTCCTGGACATCCTGAGGTGGCTTTTTCTAACTTAAACAGGTCTGAAAAGTACATTCAGATAACATTTTCCTGAAATGTTTATTTATTAGTGCTATCATACTTACTCATTATGAAGGTATTACAATATTTGAAGATAATAGGTAATATCTGTCTGCTAAGTGTTTTGTTTCCAACATTTATATATTCTTCCCATAAAAATTAATCTTGTTGTTTTCTTCTAAAACGTCTCTATTACCTGTTTTTAGCCTTATACATGATGTCTTAAATAGTATGACAGTAACAAAGAATAACTGGCAATCTTACACATTTTTTGCCCTTTCCTCTCTTAGCAACTAACATGTCAGATTTATAATGAGTAAAAACACTAAGCTCAATTTAATTGTTCAATACGTACTTCAATATCTATCACAAATCCCCTCTAATTTGGGTGTGAAAGTATTTATGTAGCTCTTACCTTCTCTATATCAAGGACTTTATCCTGCATTTCCTTTAGTGCACACTGAGATTCAGCTTCACTCAGTCGGGCTTGGACCAATTCCTTCTCTAGCTGTAGCACAAAATCTTCATTGTAGTTGGAACTGCATTTATGCTACAAGTCATAGACACATACTGAAACTTTATGGAAGGATGAACACACACACATATACATACACATACATATATATATACACAATAAAAACAAATGCTATTGCATGATATAGTTGTTAAGGACAGCTAAACAGTAAAAGTTTTACCTACCCAATATTCCCAGCATATCTCTAATTCTGCAAGCTTTTTAAGATAATCACTGGACAATTAACTGGAAAGTTGGCAGTTTAAACCCACCATTTGCTCCATCGGAGAAAAATGAGACTTTCTGCTCCCTCACATAAAGATCTATAGCCTCAGAAGCCCTATACAAGGTTGTTATGAATTGGAATGGACTCGATGGCAGTGGATTTGGTTTGAGAGCTTTAAACAGTGAAAGTTTTATTTATCCAATATTCCCAGCATATCTCTAACTTTCCAAGGAGAGAAAAGGTCCAGCTTTGATATCTATTAATATGATCAAGTGTTTTAGTTTTGCTTATTAGCTATTAAGCTGATTACATCCAATTCACTAAAGAGAATTATCTATTTTTATCAATACACCCATCCATTCTGAAGTCTTGGTGTGGTGCTGTAGTTATCTTGAACTGCAATGCAATGTCAGCTAAAACTACAAGGCCAACAGTTCAAAAATCACCAGCCACTCCTCAGAAACCCTACACAGAGGGTTGCTATGAGTCAGTACTGACTTAATGGCACATAACAACAACAACATCATCCAATTCTGACTTTAGATTTGTACTATGTAATATGGCAGCCACTAACCAACCTAAATGCGCCCAATCTCTTCTGATCTCGGAAGTTGAGCAGGGTCAAGACTGGTTAGTACTTGGATGGGAGACCGCCTGGGAATGCCAAGGGTTGTAGGCTTTTGATCTTGTCTGATCTAGGAAGCTAAGCAGGGTTGGGCCTGGTTAGTACTTGGATGGGAGACTACCTGAGTGAGACTACCTGGTGCTGTAGGCTTTTTAAGAGCTCTGGTAGTGTAGTGGTTACAAATCGGGCTGCAAACCACAAGGTCAACAGTTCGAAACTACCAGCTGCTCCACGGGAGAAAGATGAGGTTTTCTACTCTTGTAAAGATTTATAGCCTTGGAAACCCTATACAGGGTTGCTGTGAGTCAGAACCAACTCCATCGCACATTACAACAACGATGAATCATATGTGGTTATGAGCATTTGATATGTGATTAGTCTACATTAAGACAGGTTACGAGCATACAATAAAACTGGATTTGAAAGAGTTTTTATTTTAAAAAAAGCAAAAATCTTATTGATAATTTTATACTGGTTATACGTTCAAATTAATTTTGAATGCACTGGTTTAAACAAAAAATAACGTTACTAGAGCTAATGTCACCTGTTTCTTTTATTCTTTTTAAAATGGCTATTAAAAATTTTGGAGGTCTAATGTGGTGCTGTAGGATAAGCATTACACTGCTAACCATAAGGTCAATTGTTCAAACTCACCAACTGCTCCTCAGAAAACCTATATAGGTGGCCGTGAGCCAGAACCAACTTGACAGCACTTAACAATACAACAAACATTAGAAAATTTAAAACTATGTACTTCACATTATATTTCTATTAGACAGCCCTATTATGAACTATAGAAAACACACTTAGATAATTCTCTTTTAATCTTGTGGAACTAAAAACAAAGGAAACCACAATAATATGAGTCATTCTAAATCTCAATAGAGCAAAGCTTCATTTGTTCTTAGAATTGTGTATTTCTTCAAAGATAGGCATAGAAATAATTGCTGGAAGCAGAGAAAAACTAAGGGAATTATGTAACCTTCCACCAATATCCTTTCCAACAGTATCTACAATATGAACAAGAATGCAGCCACTTTAAAAGTTCCTTTTTTTTAAAAAAAGTTCCCATACAAAAACTATTCTACAAAAGCAAAAAGATATCTAAATCATCATTATAAAAGATTTCCTAAAATAAATTGCCTATCAATTCACATTTAATTCCTGTAGTAAAGTAAAAGCAATAATTCAGAACTTTCAAGCTGGTGCTATTGAGTTAGTTCCAATTCATAGCAATGCTGTATAGGATTTCCAAGACTAAATCTTTACGGAAGCAGAAGGCCTCATCTTTCTCCTGTGGATTCAAATTACTGACTTTGAAGTTAACATCCTAACACGTAACCCACTACACCACCAGAGCTCCTTATTTTCAAGATATTGTCTTAGGAAACTAATCTTCTACTGAACTAGTATGAGCAAAGAAAGGTTTCTTTCATTCTTCTATATATTAGGAACAAAATAGGTATCAAATTGAAACTTATTTTAAAACTATTAAGTACTTACTTAAAACATATAGTTCTCCCTCAAACAAGTATGCACCCCAAATGATAGAATTTTAAAAATATGAACATTTCATTTACTAGGCAAATGGGGAGGGACTTTTTAAATATAATGTATCATACATTATATCAGGAAGTAAATCTGCATATATCACCTTAGCAATTACTTACTCTAGCAAATGGGGGGTGGGAGGGGAGAAGCACTTTTCAGAAGGATCATATCCAAAGTGCCATACTTTATAAATATTATTAGAATTTTCTGACTTTAATTTAAAGTTATGGGAACTACAGTTCAGATTTGTTTTCCGAGACTCTATATTCAGAGCTTCCCAAGAACATACATCAAAAAGCCAATTAGCCAACAGAAGAACAGAATTCTTGATCAGGCATAAACCAACTGATCCAACCAGCCACAAAACATAGTTATATTGACAGCAAATGAGTACAAGTAAAACGTATAAAGAGCTTACTTAGACTCTTTTATAGCAAGTCACTCTAGATAATACACATTTTAGGCTTTTTATTCACCAAAACTATTATTTTAGCCTCTGCATTAAAACCACCCTAAATGTATTACACATTTATAGTCTTTGCAACATATTTCTTGGTTTTCCGCTATCAGGACAAAGATAAAATTATTGCACTACAAATTACATACGATCTAGGTTGGTAGTGGAGTCCTGGTGTGGCACTGCAAGATAAGCACTGGAACCCTAAAATTGGCACCTCAAACCCACCAGCTGCTTCTCGGAAACCCTATACGTGGTTGCGATGAGTAAGAAATGACTCAGGAGCACTTAAAAACAAGAAGGTTGGTGGTGGGGAGTGTGGTGACTCTGTAGGACAAACACTGGACTATGAACCACAAGGCTGGCATTCAAGCCCACAAACCACTCCATGGGAGAAAGTTGAGGCTTTCTGTTATAGCAAAGATTTATAGCCTCAGAAACCCTTTTTGAGTCAGAACCAACTAGATGTTACTTAACAATTACAATAAAAAAGGTGGTTAAAACCTATTGGCTGCTCTACAGAAGAAAGATGTGGCTGTCTGCTTCCATAAAGATAACAGCTTTGGAAATTCTATGAAGCAGTTCTACTCTACTCTATGAATTCCTCAATGACAATGGTTTTTATTTTTAAGGTAGTACTAGTTGGGCTGTTAACCACAATGGCAGCAGTTTGAAACTACCAGCTGCTCTATAAGAGAAAGACAAAGCTTTCTGCTCCTGTAAAGATTTATAGTCTTGGAAACCCTATACAAGGTTGCTGTGAGTTGGAACCAACTCCACGGCACATAACCACCCTCACCACCTGCACCATAGAGTTTTTCTAGTGACACAGTAAATATAATAAAAATCTGTACATTTGGGGGCTTTTATGTCTGACTTTATAGTTATCCATTTATTTCCCTCTGTTATCAAGACTTAAGTCATTTATCTGTAACTTTCAATCCTAGCTTTATCTTGCTTCCCTTGCCTCTATAATCAGTTATCTGATTCTCTTGCAACGATTCTTACCCTTTTTGAGTCACAGACCCTTTGGGAATCCCAGAGACCATAGAATACTCTTTTTCAAAAAATTACACACATGAGAAGTTTTATATAGGATTTCAGGTCTCACTGAAGCAACCCATATACTCCAAGTTAAAAACCTACAAGGTACACCACAGAATTCCCTAGCTATTAATACAACTATGAACTCTAGGTAAGAAACCACACTAGATCTTTTAACACCAAGAATTACTACTCTTAGAAGGTCTAATTTCTGACTGAAAGCTGATCCTTTCCATTAAATTTTCTGTACACAAATCAAATTTAAACAAAGGTTGATCATCATCTTCCCCAAATCAATTCCTAGCTATCTCAATCTACTACTGGCCTGAAATCCCTCACCTGCCTCCTCAGTGCTGCTGCTTACCATCGTGCAATAATTTTTCCCTCTGTAAAATCCTTCCCTTGCCATTCTTTTCTTTTTATTTCCCATTCTTACTCTACTAATTGGCAGAGTACATAAATACAGCCATTTTGGCCCTATATCAATCTATTTTGAATGCTGGTACCCTGAAACACTACCTTCAATCATGTAATTCCTTTAATAACTTTTAGTTGCCCTCTGTGCTCAACAGCCACACCACTCTGAACATACCCGATCTTGTCCTATCTTGGAAGTTAAGCACAGTCAGGCCTGTTTAGTACTTGGATGTGAGACCTCCTGAGAACATCAGGCGCTGTATACTTTGGAACCATGGTGTGGCATTGTCAGATAAGCACTGGACTACTAACTACATGGTTGGAAGTCCAAACCCACCAGCCATTCCTTGCAACCCTATATATGGTTGCTGAATCAGAACTGACTACCTAGTGCACAACATGTTCAAGGGGTAAATTCTAGATTCCACAGTTGAAACTTGGCAAATAGACATAGATGGCACGTGTTATTTGTCTGCTCCTCTCTGGCCGGGGCCATAATAATAATATGGAATTTTATTAATAAGGAATTAAAATGAATAAATTGAGACATATTAATCGAGGAATTAAAATAAATAAATGAGGCACGGGGAAACCTGGGCATAGAAGAATTCATTGTTTATGCAGAGCAACAATGAATTATTTTTCTTTGGATGGCAAAGCCACAAAGAATTATTTTTATGCACAGACCCCTAGTTAATTTTCTCTTGTTGAATCAT